CCCCAAAACCCCAAAACCCCAACCCCACCAATTAGAATTAGTTTTAAATTAGATTCAGTAAATATAATTCTACTCTATCTCACTCTCATTAATACTAAATTAGTTTTAATATATAAGCGAATAATCATTAATCATCTTCTTCTTGAAGAAACTCCTTTGCTTATCTTACCGTAAGCATTATCAGGGTTATATATTCCAACACCGGGGACTATGCTCTTTGCTTTGACAGCTTCGTCTACAAAATTAACAATTTTCGACTTAGTTATCAAGAACTTCGGCTTTTTAAGTTAAGTCTCTTTATGTGATTTTTCAGCATCATAAGTTACTGGTGAAGGGGAATTGTCTTTTTCCAAAATAAATCTTTCACCTTTAGGTCCCTTTGCTGGAGTGATTTTAGTCGTCAATGTTTTACTTTATACTATGTCATACTTTGATTCATAGTAACCAGGAGTTTATGTAGCTAAATAAGTGGCTTCATCAATGAAACAGGGTGTTCTTTCGTCCTTTAAGTTAAATGCTCCAGCATATTTGATTTTAGTTTAATCGACGTATTCGCCAGGTCCTGGCTTTATATTCTTTTCATTCTCACGGATAACATCATCTATTAAAGTCATTCGCTTTCCCTTCGCCATATTCGAGCCTTTCTTAGGATTAATAATATTTCCTGAGGTATTATACTCTACTGGTGCGGGGACAATAGATTTCAGTTTCACATATTGATCAATGAAGTTCTTCTTCCCATTGTTTACAATTTTATGAGTGCGAACTTTGTCAAAATTAGCATCAAAAATTGGAAAATCATAGCCGTCAATTCCCCATAAACTTTTCTTTTTCTTGTATGCTTTGACTACATCTGATACAGGTATAGTATTTACTAAAACAGAGGTTAATGAACAAGTTTAATAAAATGGGTGATATTTGCTTTTATTCTTACTTTATTATGATATTTGCAAGAGTCTTGCAGACATTCTTCTTTAGTCAAAAGATCTTTCTAGTTTCATTTAAGGTGTCATTCGCGAGCCAATGCTGATTGGTCCATGATTGACCGAATCATTAAGATTTGTAATTATTGCAGTATGATTTAAAGTACTGTGATTCTTCACTCCACCTGCATTTGACTATGACTTAAATCTTCTGTGATCACCTCCAATAACTAGCATACTACTATTATTCCTTGATATCAAGCCTTAATTATTATTTGAAGAATTTATCTATGGTAAATAACTATCTCTGAGTGGTGAAAGCTAAGCTTAACTGCCATTGAAAGCTTAAGTATTTTAAAGTTTGATAGGTGAATCATATTTTTGTGGACTCTGAGATTGCATCATTTAAGAGGACATCAAATTGATAATTAAAATTAATTTCTAATCAAATTATATATTTTCTGAATAAGTCTATCTTCAAAGCGGGGTTTTGGGGTTTTGGGGTTTTGGGGTTTTGGGGTTTTGGGG